CCGTCGACATGGAATATTAGTGTTTAACCCTTTTTATTATATCCTTACTCTGTCCTAGACATTGAGTTCTACCTAGATTCTTCCTCTTGGAAAATTTTTTTTCTGAAAATATATACATGTATGGGTTTTTTTATATATATTTTGCATATGTATGTATATTTTCCACTAATATTATCTATCTATCTAATATATATATATATATATATATATATATATATATATATATATATATATATATATATATATATATATCCGATACGATGAGAACGAAAGTAATATATAAATTCCAACGTTCACAGCATTCAAAAGAAGACTCAGTACTAATTTTAGAGAGATAATTATTTATTTATTATAATTTTATCATATAGACAAAACCATTTTACTCACTAAAACATGCAACTTCGTTTCAGTGCATTTCAACTGCACTTCGATGGGTGAGAACCGAAAATGGTTATGAACAATTCTGTTTGCATGCAAGCCGTATGTGAAACGTCACTTCCTTTTTTCCATTTGTTTGAGAAGAAAAATATACATAAAAAATGTTGATGGAGTGAAACAGTAGTGTTTATTGATAGCAGTTTGGTGAAGAATGGATTGGGTGTTTAATGTTGATTTGTCTGTGGAAAATTTTTGCCGATAAACACCGGTCAAAAAGTTTAGGCACATCATCTCATATATATATATATATATATATATATATATATATATATATATATATAGTGCTGTTCAATGACAGTGACTCACCTGATTTTTTTTACTAAATGTTCTCTTCTCTGATGAAACGAAAGTTGAGCTAAATACAAAGGATAACCGGTCTAAAATCCGAAGAAGAAGCGTTGAAAGCTCTTTGGATTTAGCAGTAAGTATAGTCAACTATCCATTCAGTATAATATTCTGGGGATGCTTTTCTTTTCATGGAACTGGTTTCTTAAAACCTATTGAAAAGACCCTCAGGAGCGAGCAGTACAAGAGAATTTTAGAGTCTTTTCTGTTCCCTTCTACTGAAAGGGTGCACGACCCCATTAAGCTCATTTTTATGCAGGATAATGCTCCTTGTCACAGATCAAAATTGATGAAGGAATACATTGATGAGAAGCAGGTGAGTGTTATGACATGGCCGCCCCAATCTCCTGACGTCAAACCTATAGAAAAATTATGGAGCATGTTGCTCAACTGCTTTCTCGAGAGACCGTACTTTATAATTATAGTGTTATATTATGAAATAGACTAAGCCCGACAATTATTTTAATTGGGCATGTAATAATGTCGATTTTGCTGCTTTTAGAATAAAAATGTCTTAAAATAATTGTCGGGCTTTGTCCATTTCATAACGTGTGACGTCATTTGTTTACGTTTGGATACGCCATGAGCAGATATCAATGTATGTGAGAGATTCATGGAAGATTGTAGTTTAAAAGCAATAAAGTCGACCTTGATAACCGAAAGCGCCTCCGTGGCCCAATCGGTGAGGCTATATGACGGTTCCGTATAGAATACAGGTTCGATTCCTGTTTTATGAAAATTTCTCGGACATTCAGGCCGGTAAATGTTGTTTAATACTGTTTAGTATAAACAGAGTATTTACTTAAATATTTGTATCTAAAAAAAGAATACCCGCTCGGCCCGGTGGCTAGGATCAAAGTGTAGTATCTGTGCTTTGTGAGCTGCCGAGCCGGGTGTCTGTCGAACTCTCTGCTTGCAGAGAGGAACCCGGACGAGGCTCCGCCGAAGGGTGGGGTTTCGTTCGGGGAGGTTGACGGAACTAGCCCGCTTGGTCGGGTTTAGATGGGTTTTATTTTTGGCTGGGCCTACGGGCTCGGACATACCCACATTAAAAAATACCATCTAAAAAGTACCCGCCACATTCAAAGTGTCCTTTGTGGCTGCCGAGCCGGGTGAATCTGCTTGCAGAGAGGAACCATCTATAAAAAGATGAATTTTTGGCTGGATAAACATAAAAATGTCTTTTCCTGTGGGTGATATATATATATATAAACATATATATATATATATATATATATATATATATATATATATGTGTGTGTGTGTGTGTGTGTGTGTACATTAGGGAAACATTGCATAAATTTAAAAAAAGGCATCTATGAACACAAAGAAGAAATTATGCACAACAATCAATCAAATGCATGAATTATACAGAGAAATAAATTCGATCACGATTTTGATCTAAAGAATGCCAAACAACTAATAGCGAAAGTAACTTACTTTGACGGAAAATTCTCAAGAGTTCTGCTATTCAGTTATATAGAAATATAAATCTGCGTAGCGAATTTTTTCAAATATGTACATTTCTGAAAGAATTACCTCTATCCCAAGCCGACATATCTGATTATAAAAATGTTAAAAAAAAAAAAAAAAAACGAAAGGAAATTCATAAACTCCTGTTACTTACAAATATATATATATATATATATAATACATAAATTTATCCCATGCTAAAAATATTCATGGCATAAAACAAATATTTAATAACACCCTTCAAAAATACCAAAAAGCTGTAACACGAGGGGAAGTGGAAAAATCAGCCGTGGCTGACCACATATGGAGAGAAAAGGGAGATCATCACCCTCTGTGGGATCAGGTTGAAATCACAAAGAACATCATTGGAAAATTCGTAAACTTAAGCAATCATCACATATGCTAGGCCACAAAAATCTCTTGAGCCGACCAAGTATAGAAATGAATACAATATGGGAAACAGTAATAAGAAATGCCAGAGAAAAGCAATAACAACAACGAAAATTGCAATATGAGCTCTGATAAAAAAATGAATGATAACACAAAAATTGCAATATGAGCACTGGTAAAAATGGTTGCTGAACACATTAAGTTTAAAAATCCCAGAAATTCATACCCACATGTTACATGGCACAGTGGATAAAGGCGTTAGTTAGATCCAGTGACAGGACCCAAAGAGTGTGAGTTCAATACCCGGTTAAGGCGGTGGAGAACTTCGAGAGGGGAATTAACAGAAGATAGGACGTGGAACTAGAACAGTCAACCCCAGCAAGCGAAATAAAGGGTTAAGTTCGATATTCCAACCAACTGAAGAAGTCTGGAGCATACAACAGCCGAAACGTTGTGATAAATACGGCAATAAACATGAGGATGATAGTCCGAACAATGTAACTAGTGTACATAATACTTCATCTCAGAAATATTGACAGACATTTACTCAGTTTCGTTTATTAGATATTAAATTACGTCACTTAGCATCTTCCATAATTTACCATGAGCGTCTCTTAAATTTAAACATTTTGGCAACACTAACAATGTTTTTACTTTTGTTGATAAATACTTGTTGCACAATAAAATCATCACATTTGCTTTGATTAATTTTTTTTAATGACGTAATCTTTTTATTAAAAATCAATCATTAAACAAAACTTATTGAAACAAAACAAGTACAGTTGACCACTGATGACGATTCCAATGTAACAATAAACAGTTTTTTCTATCCTTTGCCAGCCGCAAGCCTTACCTCGAACTATCGCCAGTGAGACACGCTGCAAGAGCCACTCCATTTTGCGAGGCTCGTCCCTTAATCGAGACGCAATCGCGCCAATCCTCCGAAGGAACGTCATCGAACGAGGGCCAATAACCCCTGAAGTCTCCACTGCCACAGGAGTAATAAAAAAATCTATCAGCAAGAGAAGAATATTTAACTATTTTATTTGATTAATTACGTCAGAGGAAGAAAAGAATCGTCAATTTTTTCTTTTTGTCTTTATTTATATTGATATAAATAAATATAGATATATTATAGTTATACCTAAAAAAATATATATATATATAATATATATATATATATATATATATATATATATATATAAACAAACTTTTATATTACACCTTTTTTTTCCATGTTTTTGATGTAATATCCTAAAATAAAGAATATTGCTCGACTTTGTATTGAGCTCTCTTATAACTGGACTCTATTCTTTTTCATTTTTATATATATATATATATATATATATATATATATATATATATATATATATATATATATTTAGGCATATATTTTATATATAAAGAAATAATCCTTCATAGAATCAATCAGCAATATTAATGCGATTAATGGCGAAATCACTTCGCTAGTAGGACATAATATAGGCGTTAAAATACTGTTAATCCATTGAATGATGTGATCCTCATTTATAAAACTGTTGTCAGATGTTTCTAGTGTATATTTTTTTAAGTTAAGCAAGTACTTTCGAAGATCCATGTCTTCATCATCAGGCTGTAAAATTTTTCCTTTAAAGTTAAAAGTTGAAGATGAAATAATTGTTTGTAGACCGAAAGATGTTTTTTTTTAAGAATGTGTTATTTATTGACGGTTGTACAATCTCGGAACGTGCGAGTCGCAACGCTAAAGTTCCAAATTTCAAGTGAGAATTTTTTATATGAATTTCGTAATATTGTAAATCCACGAATTCTTTTTTTACAAGTGTTTTTTCAGTCAACATGACATGAACTAAGTATATAGTTCAATTAATATAGTCATATGTATTAGTAGTTTTTTTCTCAAGAATTTCGTACTGCGGATCAATTGTTTATTATGAACATATAATATTAGGCAGCATATATTTTATATATAAAGTAATAATCATACATAAAATCAATCAGCAATATATATATATATATATATATGTATGTATATATGCCGCCCTATTAACAAGGTATTCACTGAAATGGTTAATTATCTTTGGTGGACTTTAACTCCTTTAACTCCTTTCATGTTAACTATTTATTTGCGGTCGTTATTAAATACTCTTTTATTTTAATATTGAAGTCTTGAGTTATACTTAATTATTAACGGTCACCGAAAGTCACAAAAAAATATATCAATGATAAAGCTTATGTAAATATAAAAGTAGATTGAAGTTTGCAACAATAGCCTGACGATGATAGTGGATATGTTAAACGATGTATCCTCCACATTTATCGCTATATCCCCCACATTGAGCACTTAAAACCATAAGCATATCTATCTATCTATCTATCTATCTATCTATCTTAGTGTATTTATTATCTATCTCAATCTATTTATACCTATCTCTCTCTCCTCTCTCTCTCTCTCTCTCTCTCTCTATCTATCTATCTATCTATCTATATTAGTCATTAGTCTGTTCATTATCTATCTCTCTATCTAAGGAGGCACGGTGGAGTAGCGGCTTGGATTGAGGAATCGGAGAGCCGAGTTCGAATTCCAGTCGTATCCATTACATTCACTTACGTGCTAACACCCTTGGGAAAGGTGTGAATCCTCTTTTTTCTCTCTCCAGCTATGGGTAAATAGCAGGACAGACTGGGTTCTATAGCCTTGGATGGCAACTGGTCTAGGAGAAGGAAAACTTTGAATTCAAACCTGCCCTTAGAGGAGGGTGGATAGAGTCTCTCTGAGCCTTGGTTGGCAATCCATTTAGTGTTAGTGTCACGATAAAAACATCCTTCATAGCCCTAGCGAAGTATCAAGAATTCAGCTATTTGACAAGATTATGAACTGCACCAATCAAAGTGTTGGTGAGTTCAATCTCAGCTGAGGCCGCAAGAGAGAGTGTTGTTGCAGTCAATCGTTGGTTGTCGTTGGTTTGGTCTATCTAAATCAGTCCATTTATATCTAAGATAGATAGATATAAATGGATTATATATCTATCTATCTATATTAGTATATATTAGTCTGTTCATTATCTATCTCTCTATCTAAATCAGTCCATTTATATCTATCTATCTATCTATCTATCTATCTATCTATCTGTGTGTATTTATGTGTACATTTCAGCTTACGATAACTTATATTTTCAATAATATATATATTTACCACGCGATAGATTTTCATCAACTAAATAAATCCAATAATGCAATTATTGATTTATATATATTTTAAATTACCGATCTAAAAGAAATTGTCAGTGTCGAACGAAGAAAATGGCCTACAGTAAAGAAATGTTACAAAATTATTGAATGACGGGGTCATAACTTTGCCGGCAATTTGAAAATAGATCATAAGACAATGAAAAGAGAAATTGAAAACATTTACAAGATATGAACAAAAAATAATTGGAATTTTACAAGAGCTTTCAAGAAAATGAAAAGGGTGTGTTAGTCGCTTCGTATCTAACCTAATTCTGTACTCATATGTATGCATGTATGTATATACGAATATATGCATCTATGTATATATGCTTTCCCTGAAATCGAATCTTCGTGTCATGGTCGCTAAAACAAGACACATGACTTCATAAATGATGCGAGAGGTAAAGGCACGGTTTCGCATCGGAGTAACCTGTGGCAAGCACCATGTATGCCTTTAAGAATCTGATTTTAAAAATCAAGTATGTTAGAAGGAATCACATATTTCTTGAGGCGATAAAATGAACCGTACTTATTGCCAGAATCTTTGCTGTGAACTTTACATTCGAAAGACATGTAGCTTCATTGGCATTGAAACTGTTACTTATGACTAGAGAGAAATATTCCTACACGGCATTGCTAATTTACATCCTGCAACATTGCTTAATATCCCTGTTACTTCAATGATATGCAGTTAATGAAATATCATATCCTTAGTTTCTCTAGATATTAATCCAATAGAAAACCAGTGGACTATCCTTAATAGAGATTTACACTTCATCCCTGTCTTTTGAACATAGGTATAGGATTGTCCCTTGTTTCCGGTTTAGGATCGGGTTTCCGGTTCCTTTTAAAGTCTACTTCAACTTTAATACTTCTAACGTCTCTGCCTGAACTATGACATTTAATTTCCTAAATATTTTTCTCCTCGATAGGAATGGATACTTTTTGCTCCATGGTTAAGATCGTGCTTCCAGTCCTTTCTAAAATATTTCCATTCTCTTTCTCTCCTAGTAGCCCCCTTTCGTTTTGGTGGTTCCTTTGCCTTCCTTCGTTCGAAGTGATCTTAAAAAAAAAACATCCAAGGAAAAAGATCTCGTGAGAGAAACTCAATTTTAGAAAATAAGTGATTGAAAGCAACGAAGATTCTAGAATGTCAAGGAGTCCACAGTCGCATGTAAACTAATCAAGTAAGAATTTATTGACGTTTATGGGATATTGTTTTCATTACATAGATAATGGTTACTATACTTTAAATTTGTTTATAAATAAAATGTTACGTCACACTTTGCGTACTACACAGTCTTACACCCTATTAGTGTATGTCTGGTCTCACTCTTGATAACGTGGGGTTTTCAAACAACCCATATAATATATACTACATTAAATGTCCTCACGGGAGCAGCTTTTAAACTAATATATATTATTTGGGTTGTTTGAAAACCACACGGTACCAAGGATGGGGCAAGACACACTGCACTAATAAGGTGTAATATTGTTGGTTTTTATTACATCGCTATTTTTTTGTCACTACATTTTCAATTTGTTTTACGTCGTATTAAAACAACTAATTTTACACCCTAATAGGACAGTGTGCCTTGCTCCACTCTTGGTATATTAGGGGTTTTCAAACAACCCATATATCATATATGATCTTAAAAACCGCTCTCCGTGAGGGGTTTTGAGCTAGCTCTTGCTGATCAAAGATAAGGAGGCGTATCGCCCAGCTTAGAAAATAGCGATGATAATTTTTTAAAAATAAATGTGAATTCTCCAATTCACTCCATGGAATTTCAAACTGTCATATCAAATCTGATTCGGGCTATAAGTCCAATTCTTGCGAAAAGACACATTTGTGCTGAAATTTCAATTCAGACCGAAAACTTTGTTTATCAAATGAGTAACTCCAATGGAAATTCAATTGAATTCTTCAAATCAGAAAGTCTGCGGAACTTTAAAATCTCACGTCGCGGAACCTATCACTTTAAGTCTGATTCCATGGCATTTTGTGTTACTTTAATCTCATTATAAATTGAAAACTTTAAATCACAATCATTTTTCTTTTTCTATTTTAAAATTGTATTTTTAACTGTTCATTCCTAATGCAGACACAAATTCCAATTGTGGATATTCAAGCAAAAGGTATAATCTGTCTATATGCAAGTGTCATTCGAGTCAAGAGGGTTTCAGATACAGGGACGGACAGACAAAATTTACTGCTCATTTATTTAGATATAAAACATTTAGTTCTTCATTGTCTGATTTATTTTGTTGTTGTTTTTTTTTTAATATAAATAGATAGAATGGTTTTATTTTGATTTTAATTTTTTTTTATTTCGAATTTAAAGTCATTTTATTGTCAGTAAACAAGAACGACAACTAAAAAGACATACTTGAAATTCACCATAATATTACATATATATATATATATATATATATATATATATATATATATATACGATAATATGCAAAATAAAAAAGAACACGTTGGGTGCATAATCCGGGGTTCTTAGTATTTTTGTTTTTTATTTTTAAGAAGACAGTGCTCCATACAGAGCTTTATTACAAAAATACTAAGGAACCCCGGATTATGCACCCAACGTGTTCTTTTCTGTTTTCTGCATACCTGCGCACATACATACTAGCTCCCAAAGCAAGGTTGAGCACTCTGAACCTTTATCTTTAAAATTAGAAATTTAAAAATATGGAAAAAATAAATTTCGACATTTCTCTGAAGAACATTCCACACACAAACAAGCCGAATTAGTTCATCAAACTTTTGCAAAAAACAGGAATTAATAAGAAAAATGAGATGGAAAGCATACTTCTTCCTACGATAGATTAACCTAACAAAAAAAAAGAGCATGATGTTTACGGATTTAAAAGCAAGAAAGTAGAACCATACAACAAAAACCTACAGGAATTCGAAAAGGACCTACTAAATATAATCAACAATATTTCCTTTCAAAAAAAGAAAAACAACTTCCAAATAGACCAAATAATCAAAACCATAAACGACAGCGATAAAATACTAGTTAAATCCGATAAAACGGGAAACAATATAAATATGGTTGACAGTATCAATAGAACTGGTAAAATGATTACTGAAAAATTAAAAATAAGTGATAGAGTTGGTGAACTGGCCGAAAAGGAGTGCTACATCACTCTTAAGGACCACAAACACGGTTTTGAAGAAGACCCCACTACCAGAATGATAAACCCTACTAGACCCGACATAGGAAAGATAAGCAAAAAAATCCTGGAAAGGATTACTAGCCAAATTAAAAAACACCTTGGATTAACACTCTGGATTAACACCAAAGAAGTCATTAACTGGTTTACCAACATCGACAAAAAGCCCGACTGCACCCTAATTCAGTTCGATATTGTCGATTACTACCAGTCAATATCGAAAGACATCTTCACGACTGCCCTGGAGTTTGCTACCGTATATTCTGACTTAACTAAGAAAGAAACAAACATAATTCTCAGTGCAAAGAAATCTGTCCTCATCCATAATGGGGACCAGTGGATTAAAAACACCAATGACAACTTTGACATCACCATGGGATCTCTAGACTCTGCAGAATCTTCGGACCTTGTCGGTCTATTTATACTGTACAATTTAACCGCCCACCGTGAACTAGACATTGGTGACATCGGGCTATACAGAGATGACGGGCTCATGGTAGTGAGGAGCTTCACAAATTGTAAAACATAGAAAATTAGAAAGATAATTTATAAAGAATTCGGGAAACTAAATTTAAAAACAATAGTCAACACTAAATTAAAAAGAGTAAACTTCCTAGACATAACCCTAGACTTAGCGAACAACGTTCACCTACCTTACAGAAAACCCAATACTAATCCCCTGTATGTACACCCTAAGTCAAACCACCCTCCATCTATAATTAAGCATATACCCACATCAATAGAGAAAAGAATAAGTATGAAATCAGCAAATAAGGAAATATTCCGACAACACAGTAGCTTTTATAACACAGCCCTGAAAAATAGCGGATACAAAAACGCTGGCATAACCTATAGAGAGGATAGTACCAATAATAAGAAAAACAGGAAAAGAAAGATAATCTGGTGTACCCCTTCGTACAACCAAATGGTCAGCACCAAACTAGGCCATAAGTTTCTAGCTTTAATTGAAACACTTTCCCACTAATAGCAAACTTAGCGACATCTTTAACAAAAACACCTTGAAATTGAGTTATAGCTGCACTGAAAATATAGAAAGAATCATAAAAAGACATAATAAGAAAATCCTAGAAAAAAACGCAAACCAAACCAGTAATAAAACTCATAAACTAAAATTAGATAAAAATAACGAAAAATTATGTGATTGTAGAAACCCTAAAAACTGCCCGTTGGAAAATAAATGCCTCACAAAATCCGTGGTATACCAGTGCACTATCTCATCCATTGAGAGTCCTAACACTGGTAGGATATACATAGGCTCAACAAAGAATAATTTTAAAATTAGATAGAGGCAACACAAGAGCTCCTTCAACAATATTCAAAATAGAAATCAGACATCTCTATCCCAATATTTCTGACTTCTAAAAGAAACGAATAAAACACCAAAAGTAAAATGAAAAATAGTAAATAAAACAAGAACTTGTAAAACCTGGGATGACCCATGCCCTTTATGCCTACAAAACATCAACAAATTTTCGCATTAAATAATTAGCATAAAAAAATCCCATAGCTCAATAAAAGACTTAAAACCTTAGCCAAATCATTGAATAGGAAAAACCCTTTTTGTAGTCGTCAAAAAACAAAAAAAAGCAAATTGAAATTCAGTGCAATACGATTTGTATATAAAACACCCACTTGAATAAACAAATAAATAAATAGATAATCAGATGGACAATAATAAAAGACAATTCCCC